AACCTTTGCAAAATGAGCTCCACAGGAAATTAGTTACTAAGAATTTTCTAGTTATTGAATTACAGAATACATTCAGAAAAGCCAGAGTTGAATAAAGTTAAATGTGCTTTAGTGCAATTACCTAATGTTTGCATTTCACATTTTGGTTTTCATAAAAATTATTACCTATCAGTGATAGATGGTACACTTCAGAAAATGTTCTTTGCAGAAATGTAGGGGCTTTTTGTATAGCGTGATTGTATAATGATATTATTTGTTTTAGTAATTTTTTATTTTTAAGGTTCACATAAGGGACATGCTAAGTGAATAGCAATAAAAACTCCGAGTTCCCACACAGAGATACCAACATAAAAGGCTTCAAGTATTTATACTTATGGCCACCATTCTTCAAATGTGGCAGTCATATCAGCAGCTTCCTCAGCATGAGTTGGGGGCATGTTAGAAAGGGATATTTCTAGACCGCATGCATCCTAAACTCCATAAATTAGATATTTTAGCATGGAGCATACCAGTCTTTTGGAAAACATCTCCCCCATAATTGCAATGGATGATAATATTCTGTAACTACTGATTTTGTTTATCAGGAGAGTAATGGAAACTCATACCTGAGGGAGAACCGGCCGTCTTATAAAACTGCATCTTATCTCTGTAATGGTCAATTTGAATGAGTGTGGATGAAAGAAGAGCAGGTGTGTAGCAGAACATCTGAAGGGAATGGAGAATCCGACCAGGAGGAAACAAAGCTGGCCAACAGAGCACACTGGGTGCGGAAAGCCCAGGGATCATAGAGAATTCAGCAAATTGGGTTAAGTAACAAATATTACAGTCCATCAGCAGTAATATTGTAAAGATGAATATGGCATTCAGGTGTTGATGAGTCCAGATCCTAGAAATATATTGAGGAAGGAAAAACTCAGAGTTCCTGTGAAAGCACAGGCAGAAAACTTGGTTATAAGAACAGTTGTAACAGTGTGTCCTTCCTGTAGATTAATGCCTTGTCTAACTTAAATGTGAATTCCAATGAAGGATAACCCAAATTTCTGAGTTTGCACTGTTTGTGCTCCTCTGAATTAATGGTTATATAAAATGTTCTCAGACTCAGAAGGCTGTATGTGAAATATTTTGTGTAGAATGTCAACAGGATGAAATTTTAAACCATGGTTCCTCCTGTGCAAATATCAATCAAGATTCTGACCTAAAATATGTACTTACTGCTTGCATTAAGTAAAAATAAACTCAGTATTACTAAACATATTTATGAGAAGAGTTAATCAGAATATTTGGGTAACTGAGTATTCTAAACTGTACCACATCATGTTCATAATTGCATTCAAGGCATGATTTAATGCCTTGCTCAATGAATATTATATGATGGCCTTCAAATTTCAATTGAGAAACTATAGACCCTTCAGAGGTTCAATAAAAACTCTAGCATAAAATAAAATAAAATTTCTAATTAGACAAGTTTTATGTTATTCTCTTTGACAGAGCCTTTTTAACATTTGACATCAAGAACTCATAGAATCAACGTGATTCCTGACCTTTAAATCTCAGGGAAAGATCTTCATTAGCTAGGTTCACAATTCAGTTTTATGGACATTCATTATTCCAGAACGAAGGACATGAGACTGCCTGGGACAATGGACCAGCAATGGAGTGAAAGTTACCCACATAAGCAAGTTTTGTCCCTATTGTGTAGACACGGAGACAATGACAGCCTGAGTGAGGACTTACAAGAGTCTTGTCCCTCTTTGCTTATAACTGACTTTATATATTTTAAAAAAGATAGAATTTTGTGCAAAAAGAATCAATAAATGGAGGCTGGAGAGAGGGTTCAGCAGTTAAGAGCAATTGCTCCTCGTGCAGAGAGCCCATATCTTGAGACTCATAATGGCCTGTAACTCTGGTTCCAGAAATCAGATTCTCTCTTCTGGCTCCCATGGGCACCTACACACATCTGGCACATACACATGAAATAAAATAAATAAATACTATAAAAAAGGATCGTATTCAAATGTAAGGTTCTTGAGCCCTCTCAGAGAGGGCTATTTTTAATTTCAGTTAAATTGATAGATTAGAAGGAACATGACAGGAATGAGGGGAGTAAAATTCACCATCTCTGTTCAGTGTGTGATATTTTAACTGGGAAATGAAATCCTTTACTAGCAAGAGGTGCTTAATGAAATTTTCTTCCAATGACCATCTTTATTCAAATACTCTTCAGCAGATGAATGACAGCTCTAAAAGAGATCTGGAGCTACAACTCAGTGGTAGAGCTCCTTGCTTAGCATATATGCCCCTTGGTTTGGTCCTCAACACCACAAATAATAGCAACAACAATAATAAAGTTTAAATTTGAAAATAGAAAAGGAAATTTCTTCTTTGAAAGCTTACTTGGCCCATTACACAATATTTGGCCTGAATTTTCTAAGTCATGACTTCAACCCTCTTCAAGTAAAGCTGCTTTCTGATATTTTTTTAATTCCTTCTAATCATCAATAATTTGCAGATCTTGATGTAAATATGTTCTGATTCATATAAATGTTTTGTAAATATTTAAAAAATAAGTTCTCTGGAAGTTTTCATATTCAGAGGGCTCAACAGTTCCACAATGCTCCCTGTTTCACTCATAATTCACCTTACTATTTTATGTTTGACTCTAACCAGCTGTTGTCTAAATACAGCTATTTTAATTAACATAAAGAATCATATCTATTTACTATGTTTTTGGTTGTAAGATATAGAAACAAAGTATAGTCAACTTTGATCAAGACTTTTCAGGTTTAAAGTCTGGTGTGGTAGAAAAAGGCCAGCATTTGGGAGGCAGGTAGATCTCTGGAAGATTGAGGCCAGCCTGGTTTACATAGCGAGGCAGACCTTGTCTCAGTAAATAAATAAATAAATAAATAAATAAGTAATAAAGATTTTTCAGGTGTAAATCAGGTGTGGTAGGAAGGTTTCAATGTTTAATAAGATCCTAGTTTCCTTACCTCACCCCAAAATAATCCTTTTAACTTGGGAAGAGTTTTTGTAAATTTGTTGACCAAATCCTTAAAGCAAAGTAAAAATATCAAAATAGTGTCTTTAACTTTAGAACTAATAGTCAGCTCTATGTTCACAGTTTAGAAAATATATTTCACCTAGAGTATAAAAATTAGCAGAAAAATCAACAGAATTCTACAACAATGGCCTTCTTCAGTGTAGAAATAAAAGCTTTTCCTGGTTGAAATTTCCTTTAACAATTTTTTTCTCATTTAATACAAAATGTAACTTCAAGTCTAATTTACAGTGATAATAAAACAGAACAGTTTGAGAAGAATAAACATACTCAGTAACCTATGCTAGTTTTTATAACTTTGTGATAAAATTACTTATAACTTTGATATGAAAGTATTTCTAAGGATCTTTACTATGACCTTCATAGAATTTGAAACTAAGTGATTGATAGCTATCAAGTTAATTCTTGCAGACCTCAGCAGAACCAATGCTTACTAGCACCTTAACATGTAAATTTTTCCTTAATAAATAACACCCATTCTGTGGCTTCATCTTATTTCCAGAATAAAACTACACAAATAAGACCAAGGACATACCAGAGGCATATACATGGTGAGATGGAACATTGTTGAGCTAAAGCAACAGAACCCGAAGAACCCAAAGGGAAAATGACTTGATTAGTTGACAGATGTATCATTATCTTCTCTGAAAAATGTTATTTTTACTTTTTATTTATATGTATGTGTGTAAGTCTGTCTGTATGTATGTATGTACAGATGTATATGCAGATGCCCTGGGAGGCCAGAAGAAGGTATCAGATCCCCTGGAGCTGATGTGGATGCAGGTAACTGAACTCAGATCTTCTACAAGAACAGTAGACACTCTCTTAACAACTGAGTCATCTCTCCAGACCTCATTGTCTCCTTTGAGAAAAGAAAAGGAGTGTTTTGTGTTGTTTTAGATAATAATCAAGTTCTGCATGGCTCTATCACTCCTGTAAGTTCTTTCAGTTGTGAACTCATATTGATATTTATATTTTTGTCATTTTGTCATGTCTTATTAAAGTTAGGAGATATCTAAAAATAATTTTGAGGCATATTAGCACTTCAGACATATCTCATATTTTTGTCTACATATCGTATTGTGTCTCTATCTAATCATAGAATGCAGAGAAAGCCCTTGGTAGATTCCTACTGTGCTACTCTAATACATAGTAGAAACAGTCCACACATATAAAACACTCAGTGTTAGGTGAGCTGTGGTATATCAACAGCAAAATAATATATTTATTTTAGTTTTCAATATTTTTTATTGATAAAAATTACACAAAAGCTAAGTGATGATTAAATTTAAAATCAATGTTACATATTATCTTGAGTTTAGAAATTTGTTATATGGAAATTTCATCAACTGATCCACTAGCTATTGTTTGCAGAGACCCTCTCTCCACATGAGGATAGTTCTAATGGTTGTCTGTTTTCTAGATGTTCACAGTTTTCTTTATCAGACTTCTTACAATGAGGGTTGCCAGTGAGGAAAAAAACCTAGAACTCCTAACATCACCACCAACATGTGTGTGGAAGGAATAGTCACCTGATGTATTTAATTCTCATTCCAGTAGTTTATCAAATTCTGTGACCAACTTTCTTTACAGAAAAGGTCTGTCCAAACCCAAATCTTCTTTTGGTGCCATATAAACTTTAATATTCATGTTCAGCAGTGGAAACATAACCACTTGACCAAGAAAAAAGTTAAAAGAGATAAATAAAAAGAATAATCAAGATTTTAAAGGACAAAACAAAGTGAAATCAATGGAAACAAAGTCTGTGAGTGTTATTACACACCTTACAAGGAAAACTGTATTGTTTCCCCCAGATTCCCACCCACCCCGTGTGGTTCTCCAGCCCAGGAACCATGCAGTGTAGAAAAATCAAATATACAAACAAACTTATAGATAGCTAGGATGAAATCTATTTTTATAAGAACTTGACACTCTTGACTATTTACATCCGGGAGCATTTGTGTTTCTTTTATAGTTAAAAGCAAAGAAAATTCTGTCTTCTCCTTTGTTGGTGGGTGTGCAGCAGCTGACCAAACTCATAAGCAGTTTTGGGGTTGCTTCTCTAATGCCAGAAACTCCTGTCCAGAAACAAGAAGCTCCCTTGGCCGCAGGATGCTGGACACCCACTGTCTTTGAAGACAACGGCCTTCCTTCCCTGCGAGCTCCCAGTCAAGGAGGGGGCTTTAGCTTTAGTTTGTTATTCTTTCCAGGTAAATGGCAGGTGCGGCCGACCTGGCTATGGTGGCGATGAAGCTGTGGTCTCTCCCGAGCTCCAGACTGGGACTATCATCTTGATCCACAGACACTGCCTCGTAGGCTTTGTTGATGTGGAGAGGCTGGTGCGCCTGACAGTACCCCATCACTGGTTGGTCATAGGCGTAATAGGGCAAAGGCTTCACATGGTGTGATATCTGTGTGTGAGAAACAGAGACAGAAATTGGTTGGTGATTGATAAGCTTTAAGAAGAGAAGGCAAGCATCAAAGACTCCATTTTTGTTTTCTTGCTGATTCAATTCTTCCACTACCAGCGATCGTAATTTAACAAAATGTTGGTTGTAGTTATTTTACCAAATACTATTGTACATCACATTTTAATTTTACACTTACTATAAAATTACAAAGTTCCTTCAGAACTTTATTTTCTGCAGCCTCAGCATAATTATAACAAAGTTAGATGTACCTAAATATACATGAACAGGCAACGTTCTTTGAATATATATCATATATATTTATATGTATGTATCCATGCATGTACATGATTAATTATGTTTCATGTATGTTTTGTTTAAATGTTTTGGAGATTTTTTTGTCTTTTTGAGCTGGGCTGGGCTGGATCTCTCTATGCAGCCCAGGCTGGCCTAAATTTCACAGAGATCTGCCTGCTTCTGCCTCCTGAGTGCTGGGATAAAAGGTGTGTGCCGGCAGCTTGTTGAAATGTTTTGTTTACATATTTGACCTGTATATTTCATGTTTTCTTTTTTTAATTGATTTTGCTCTCTGAAAACTGTAGTACACATCTCCAATGCACTCTGACTGCCTCCCCTCCCTTTCTTATCTCTCTCCCACCCCTAATAACACTTCTCTTCCCCAACATTCCTTTTTCAGACTCATGACTTTTGGTTTTGTGAATCATTTAATTTCACCAGCGTTATCTATGTGAGTATCAGATTAGAGCTATCCATTGGAACTTGGTAGGGTCACCAATAGGCACACTACTTCAGGCAATGACTCCCCTGTTCCCAGAAACTATCTGTTGCAAATAGTTCAGCTAGCTTCCTTGAGGAGCCTCTCCTCCATCCACGTCTCACTGTTGATGGGCCTGTTCTTCTATAGACCCGGTGCAGCTGTCCACAGCTGCTAAGAGTTTGTGATTTCACTGGCTGTATCTTTTCTAGGAGATGGAATTTCACAGCCATTCTCCCTGTCCTGCATTCTTTCCATCCTCTCTTCTACAGTGCTCCATGAGCCTTGGAGGGAATGGTACGAATATCTTCTCTCTGGCTTAGCACTCGAAGTTCACTTAAGTTCACCAGCTTGTACAGTCACAAGTCTCCGTATTCATCACCATTCACTTGAAAGAGAGGTTTCTGTGACTAAGGCCTAGAGTAGCATTGTCCATGGGTATAAACAAAACTATTTAGAAGTCCTCAGGCTGTGCTGATTTAATAAACAGCAGTATTCAATGTCCCTTGAGGCCTCTGATCTCCTTCACCCCAGGGGCTATTTCCTAGGTTTACAGTTCCAGGCGTGGACTTTCTCCTGTAGAGTAGATTTCAAATTCAAACTTCTCATATAGGCTATACATATTTTACTTTACATTTGTACTTTTCACTTCAAATTATTCAAATATTGATTTTGGGTTCCTATAGCTTTTATTAAAAAATAATTTCACAGATTATGTCTAACAATATATTGCTTAAAGTATTAGAATCAGCTCTGCACGAGAGTTCTAGACTAACCTGACAAGTGCATCTCTCATCAAACAAGCTTCTTTTTTGCAACAGATATAGACTTATCACAAAGGTATACAAGTGATCAAACAAAAAGATAAGTGTCTGTGAGGTGCCCAGCCCTACGTGACACAGTTGCAATGGAACCTCTACAGCTAAGGCTCAGGGAACAGAGTGGAACAGGCAGCGGAGAATATTAATGCACTTCTCAACTTTCACAAGTAAAGCTTCCTCATGCAAAAGACAGGGACTAACCAAGAAAGTTGTAAATGACCAAAGACCAGGCTACAGGAGACTACAGAGTTCTTATTCTGAATAGGACACCTGTACCAAACTCCTGTTGCCAAAGGTTCAGGCACCATTGTGGAAGAGAGGGCAGAGAGACTGTAAGATCCAGAGGGAAAAGAGTTTTACATACAGCTTGGATGGTAACAGCATACATAAGACCCACGCATGCTCAAGTCAGATAATATCCCAATATAGAAATGGGGAAATGGGGAGGAGGCCCCAGCTTCAACTGAGAAACTATTGGCAATAGATAATTACTGGGAGAGGGAGAGTTGGTTTTCTTTAAGGCTGTGAGACTAGATAGGCTAACTAGTCTCTGGTGGATGGACATACACTGAAGGACATTTGGGGATGCAATCTTGTCTCATTAGGCCTTTATACATACATACATACATATGTATGTATAAAGGCCTATTGACAGATATATAAAGGCCTATATATGACAGAGTGCGTGACTGGTGGGAAGGCTATTAGAGAGGTATAGATGGGGAGTCTAAGTATGATCACAATATATTGTATGAAACTTGAAAAATTTGTTAAAATAAATTAATTAAAATAAATAGATATTAGAATCTTAGTACAGGCACCTCTTTGTGTTTACAATTTGGATTGATATTCTTTGTATTCAAGTTAACAAGCTGAAATTCTTTGCAGAGGAATTTCTGAAAATACCACAGTCATATTGACTCTCCCCTCAGCTTTCCATTAGAACAAGTATTTCTAGTAAGGAAGCACAAATCTCGAAGTCAAGGAAAGAGAAATGGCGACTGCAATATTTTTTATGTCAAGCAGGGAAATCTGCCATAACTAGCTCCATCAGTCTGCTGGTGTGCATTCACGATCCAGAAGACAAAGCTTCTAGGGCTCTGCTGTGGCCGCTGTGGCCCTTTGAACACTGCCGTCTCAACTTCATGTCTGCTTTAGCATTTGGGATCCTGGGGCAGGAACTTTGTAACTGGCATGTCCCTCCTCACCTGCAGCTCTCTGGCAGAAGCTAGTGGAGGAAGATGAGAACGGATTCTTAGAAGAAAGGATTGCCCCTGCTGAGGGCTTCCTCTCTGCTCTGTGAAGACATGGCTTCCAAAAATGCCTCATTCTTTTGAAGTGATGGGTTCATCACTCTAAGCGCAGGTGATGGTTCTGACAACACTGGTGGCATATGGAGCCTTTGGACTCCTTACCCCTGCTCCCCCAGACACCATCACGTGCTACAGAAGGCTGAGGTGGGTCACATGAACTTTTATGTTTTAGTGACTCCAGGTTTTTCCCTCTGTCCTCTAAGCCTACACATGGAAGTAGAAACTAGTTCCTGAATCTGGCTTTGTGATGACTTGGCACCATCTTAGTCATTGCGTTAAGAGGCGATCATAAGACATGTGTCATGAAAGCAGATGGGAGAACTGTTCAGAGAAAGAACAGGGAGCAGTAGGAGAGGATCAGAAGGCTGGAAGAAGGGGACATGAGAACGATGTGGGGAGTGGGGGTAGGACCAGTGGAGAGTGAGTTTAAAAATGTAGCCTCAAATTGGTATGACAACTACAAACCAGCTCTTTACTGGTATTTTAGCTGCAAGTTATAAAGCAAAATATCTGTGTAGTCTGCTTGGTTAACATATCTATGTGTAGCCCTTTCATGGAATAGATACAAGTTGTTTATGAGATAAAAGACAAACAAAAACCTGGTAATAGGAGAAATTTACCTTCCTGGATAGAAATGTCAAATAGCAATGCTTATCGGCATACCAAGTGAAAAATTCAATTCTTTATAAAAACATTTGCAATAAAACCCATTTCTTTTTTGATATTTTATTTATTATCTTTATTTTATGTGTACGAATATTCTGCCTGCACATGTGTAAGTACACCCATGTCATGTAATAACACAAAAGTCAGAAGAGGGCGTAGGATGCCCTAGAACTGGAACTACAGACTGTTGTTAGCCAACGTGTGGATGCTGGGAATGGAACCTTGGTCCTTTGCAAGATCAGCCAGTACTCTTAACCACTGAGTCATCTCTCCTGCCCCAAAACCCATTTCTGTATATTAACCAAAATTAATTTGAAAATGTATAAAAACAATAGCTCGGTATCTAGTTAGCAGTTATTTGTAACTCACTATATAGTCAAGGATGACCTTAAATTTTTGATCCTTCCTCCTCTACATCTTGAGAGCTGGGATTACAGGTGTGCACCACTCTGCTGGGTTTAATGCTATCATAGGTATAGAACCCAGAGCCTGCTGCTTGCTAGGCAAGCACTTTATCAAGGGAGCTGTATCCCTTGCCCTAGCCATACTTGTCAGACTTGTGCTCAGAGTTCATTTCTCCAGTTACTACCTAAGCTCTTTAGGGGTTCTCCACACCAGTTCCAGTGTTTTATTCCAGCCGTCTTCCTTCATTTTAACAAATACAATTTTGATACAAAGTTATTATTTGCCTGAGAATTGTCTTTTTAACATATTGATATTTACTAGGAAAGGTCCCTCCTGGAATTTTTGAAGATCTAGACTAAAGTAATGTTTTCAGTGTATGACACATGTGCTGCTCAGTGCTGTAGGAGACCCCACATGATTTCTGGCTGTGAGTTCCAAGAACCATCTTCACTAAGAACAGCATGACCTCATACCTACAGAGAAATGGGAAAATGAAATTATTTACAGCTTTATCAAACCTGGACAGAGAGAAATCATCATTTTGTCTATGTTTCCAGTAACATCGTTTTAATTTCCAGAAAGGACTAAACAATAACCAGCAAGTATATGAATGTCAATTTAGCTGTGGGACAGAGTTGCTGCTCACCTAAGGTCAGTATTCTTATGACAGGACTTTTCTATTTTAACATGAAATTTTCTATTTCAAATTAGGATTCCTGCAGGCATCTTTACAGGATCCCTCTTGCATTTGTGGGTGATAAAATTAATTTAATGAATGAGATACGTTTTCAAAAATTAAATAAAGCAAAACAGACAGAGTCAAGGAATAGAGTAAAGGCAGCTGTTTGTCACATTTTCAGCCATACATGTTAGTGTGAGCATTGCTTACACGAAGAAGTAATTTTTTTAACATTTATTAATTAATTTATGTCAATCATTTTAGTATTTTATTTTTGTATGTGTGTATGTGTGCGTTTGCACATGTGACTGCAGGTAACAGCAGAGACCAGAGTAGGGTTTTGG